TAATGTCTTGCTAACAAGGCTAATTATGTCTTGCTAACAAGGCTAATTATGTCTTGCTAACAAGGCTAATAATGTCTTGCTAACAAGGCTAATTATGTCTTGCTAACAAGGCTAAATATGTCTTGCTAACAAGGCTAATAATGTCTTGCTAACAAGGCTAATAAAGTCTTGCTAACAAGGCTAATAAAGTCTTGTTACCAAGGCTAATAAAGTCTTGCTAATGGGGCTAATAATGTCTTGCTAACAAGGCTGATGTCTTGCTTAACGAGGCTAATAATGTCTTGCTAAAAAGCTAACGTCTTGCTAACGAGGCTAATAATGTCTTGTTTAACGAGGCTCATGACGTCTTAACAACGCTAATAATATCTTGTTAACAAGGCTAATTGTGTCTTGCTAACAAGGCTAATAAAGTCTTGCTTACAAGGCTAATAATGTGTTGCTAACAAGGCTAATAAAGTCTTGCTAACAAGGCTAATAATGTTTTGCTAACAAGGCTAATTATGTCTTGTTAAAAAGGCTAATAATATCTTGCTAACAAGGCTAATTATGTCTTGTTAAAAAGGCTAATAATATCTTGCTAACAAGGCTAATTATGTCTTGCCAACAAGCTAATAATGTCTTGCTTAACGAGGCTAATAATGGCTAGCTAACGAGGCTTATTATGCTTTATTTTATTTAACCAGGCAAATCCCATTGAGGTCATGGATCTCTTTTGCAAGGGAGGCCTGGGCCTGAAGGCAGCCTAAGGAAACCGGAGTACACAAAGAAAACCCACGCAGCACGAGAAGAACATGCAAACTCCACACAGAAAGACCCCAGGTTCAACCGGGGATTGAACCCAAGACCCTCTTTCTGTGCGGCAACAGTGCTAACCACTGAGCCGTCGTGATGACAATGCTAATTTATTATTAGTTGACATCAGAGCTCCATGTTCTAAAAGAAACTTTAAAACAGCAGAGACGAATTATTAAAAGTAAAATTACTCTAGGATTACAAACCTAAATGTAAATAAAATAACTTAAATTAAACATTTTCAATATTTGTGAATAAAATAAACCTTCAGTATTGATCCTAATGTCTTAAATCAAAATGTAAAAAATTCATTTGATCACGTATTGATTGATTGATCTTTGTATTAAAATAAAAGTGTAAATACTTTATGTAGTATTTATCAACTATTATACATAAAATACCAATTCTTAAGTAACGTGGTAATATTTAGGCAGCTGAAGTAAAAGTATTTGTGTTTTTAATATATTTTACTTCCGTATCGAGACACCGGGTGGTTCTGCTCACGGTGGTACCATCAGAGTTGCAGAAGGACCCATGCTTATCTGAGTCCCTGAACGCATCTCACATCAGACTGGAGCCCTGGTGACTGATGGGAAACTGGGCCAACCCCAGAACCAGCAACAACTGGGCCAACCCCAGAACCAGCAACAACTGGGCCAACCCCAGAACCAGCAACAACTGGGCTAAACCCAGAACCAGCAACAACTGGGCTAAACCCAGAACCAGCAACAACTGGGCTAAACCCAGAACCAGTGACAACTGGGCCAACCCCAGAACCAGCAACAACTGGGCCAAACCCAGAACCAGCAACAACTGGGCCAAACCCAGAACCAGCGACAACTGGGCCACCCCAGAACCAGTGGCAACAAAGCAGAACTTCCCTACCTAAAGAGCCCCGAGGCGGCCCGGCCCGGTCCGGTCCAGATTAGACTCTGAGGCCCTGCAGGGAGGGGCTGCAGTAATCTGGTAATCTCATCCTGGTCCGAGTCAACAACCTGGAAGTTGGACCTGGTTCATACCTGGACACCACCTAGATCCGGTCCACAACTGGACCCGTTTGCCCCCATCAGTCAGAACCATCTTCAACAGGGTCTGAGCTCCTTCATGGATCGGTATATATGGTGCAGCTGGGACCAGAACCAGGGGTTCTGATGGGTCGAATGGCTCCAGAGGTGATAAGTGGACGGGTCGAGACCAGAGTCTGTGTCCACGGGGAGGCCGGTCTCACCGGTCCAGAACCCGGCTGTAGCCGCCCTCGCTCTTCAGGTCTGCGAAGACCTGGGTGAAGAAGCCGGGGTCTGCGTTGATCCGGAGCATGTTGGCGCTGGTGGCGTTAATGATGGCGAGGCAGCGGGTCCAGAAGGCGTCCCGGCCCGGTTCCACCAGGAAGGGCTTGAGGGGGTAGGAGATCTCGGTGCCCATGTAGGCGTAGGACAGGTAGAGACAGGTGAGCAGGACGGCCTGCAGCTCGCGCTCCGAGGACACCGCGTCCCCGTCCACCACGTCCCGGCACAGCATGTAGACGAAGACCACGTTGGCCGGCGTGACGAAGGCCTGGTCCTGCCAGCCCTGCAGCAGCAGCGAGCGGTCCACGGCCCGGAGCCACAGAACCGGGTCGGCCGGACTCAGGCGCCGCAGCCGGAAGCAGCGGAGCCGCAGGAAGTCCCCGAGACAGCGCAGCAGCTCGCTGGTGGACGCCTGGACGATCACGCGCTTTGGGGACGACGTCCCCTGGGGGGCCCTCAGCGAGGATGGCGGCCCGGTTCTGGTGTAGCCAAATCCGAAGCCCGGACCCGACCCGAACCCATAGCTCAGACCCAGTCCTGCTGGGACTTCGTAGCTGGACAGGTTGGCACAGGACAGGGACTTCTTGACGTTGTCCCGGTTCAGGGTCAGAACCGGGTCGTTCTGGTAGAAGCTGTTGTTGCTCAGGGGGTCCACGGTACCACCGGGCCCCTTCCTGGTATCGTTCTTCTTGGTGGGGGCCACCAGGCGCCTCCAGGTCAGCGCCGGCAGGAGGATGGACCGGCCCCCCCTCAGGTTCCGGTCCTTCTGGCTGTTCAGGGACCGGCTGCTGAGCGAACCCGGCTGGTTCTGGTAGAACCCGGGTTTCCTGGAGCCCGGCGACAGCGACAGAACCGTGCCCATGGTGCCGGGTCAGAACTCCTGGACGAACAGAACCGACGTGTGGGAGACAGCTGGGGGACATGGAGAGGACAGATGTTAGAGAACCGGGCCTGAACAGAATCTGGTCCAGACTGGACTTAAAGATCTCGAACCAGAACAGTTCTGAACCTGATCAACTCGGAACCAGAACAAGAACCAGAACCCAAAACTGATTTAATCTAAAAACTGACCCAGTTTGTTTCTGGGTCAGAACCGAACCGACTCTGTGGTTCTGAGAAACTCACCTGTTTGGTGGATCCGGTTCCGGTGCCGCAGTCCGTGATGGGGCACAGACTTATGGAGGTACCGGGAGCGCTCCGGTACCAGGCGGTGCCTGGCGGTACCGGGCTGCAGGGTCACAGGCACAAAGTGGTCCAAACAGAACCGGACTGGGCGGAGAGGAGGTTCTCCAGAACCGGTGCAGCTGTCATGACCGAACCCAGACTATATTCCTGGTTCTGGTTCCGGTTCGGTCTGTTCAGCTCCATGTTCCGAAACAAAAACCCAAACTTTCACTCAGTCCGAGTCTAAAGGTTCCATCTCCGAACCACGACCCGGCTCCTCCGAACCTCCTGGTCCCGGTTCTGGTCCGGGTTCTGGTCCTGAGCAGCAGGAGGGTCCGCCTTCATAGAGCCTCAGCGGCTGAATGACCGAACCGGAACCACGGAGCTCCGAACCGCCGCAGCCGAACCTGTGATGAGCGGCTCTGAGCGAGAGCGCGCGGCGCGGCCCCGCCTCCACTGCGCGCACGCGCACGCGCTTCACCGAAAAACAAGTCAAAATATAAAAATTAAAAAAAATCTGTAAATGTTTTAAAAATTATTAACTTAAAAAATTTATAAAAATATTTTATCAAAATAAAATGAAACAAAAGTTGAACTAAAATAAAAAACAAAATTAAATAATTAAAAATAAAACTGAGGGATTTAAATAAAAACACCTATTTATTATTATTAATAAGCAAAAGTTTATTAAATACATTTAATAAATAAAATAATAAAACTTCATCAGATTAGTTTCAAACATTATTTAAATTACAGAATTAATCTGGATTGTTAAATTAAAATTAAAATTTAAATGAAACAAACTAACTGCACGTACTGAAAACTGCCGGATTGTTCTGAGGACTCTGCTGGTCAGACCCGTTTGGGTCGTCTTGTTTTTGGTCAGTTTGTTTATTTATTGTCCAAATTATTAAAAAATGTTTACAGACTTTTTGTTACGTCAGATTTGGACCGGAGCGGTTTTCCCTCGGCGGGTCAGCGGTTCGACCCGGCAGACCGGGTTCAGTTTTCCACTCAAAGTTCGAGCCTGAGGGATTAATTTGTTGAATTAGAGCCATTAAAGATGAGCTAACAACAATTAATAATCCACAATCTGAGCAGGTGACTGATTTTAAATACCTTGGAACAATAACTGACCTTTGACCCCAACACCGACTGTATTTACAAAAAATCCAGGCAGCGTCTCCACCTTCTGGAGGAGCTCAGGAGCTTTAATGTTAAAATTATTTTGCAGGTGGTGCACAGGTCACTGGTTGAAAGAGTTGTTTCCTTTAATATTGTCTCATGGGCTGGGAACCTCCCAGTCTGAGACAGGAAGTTGTCCCGGGGGTCAAACAAGTTCAGTGTCACAAGATGACAAAGGTCATCTGGAGTCTATCGTTCTACAGAAAGATTATCCACAAGAGGAAAATGTTTCAGACAGCTGACAAGCTTCACATGAGATTCACCCTGAAGGTCAGACCGTGCACTGAGCTCCATCAGACTCTACAGGCCTCAAACAGCAGGTCAAAGGTCATGACAGACTTACACCCTCTGTGAGGTCTTTAAAAAAAACGAGCCCTGCCTCCTCCAGCTCAGCTCCTCATCCTTTTAATGAAATGTTTCGACTATCAGTCGGCTTTAGGAGGTACCAGCGGTCCTGTTTGGGGGGTTTGGTTCTTTTGGTTTAAGGGAGCATCCTGAGTCCACATGCTGGTCTGAGGTTTTCTGTTTCTTTGACTTTCTTTTCGTCAAGTTCTCATCTGGTTTTGTTTGTAACGTTTCTAATAAAATATTTTAAAATGTTGAAATTAGTTGGACTCCACAAAGACAAGAATCACGGTGCTGCAGTGATCCAGAGTCCAGAACCTCAACCTGACCGATGCTGGTGGGACCAGAAACCTCGGCGATGGAAAGAAGAGCGGACCCAAAGTCCTCCACAACCACGAGAGACCAACTTTATAAGGAACAACCGGAGGCTGGTTTAGGATCGTGTTCAGGTGAACCTTGATGCTTCTACGTCGATGAAATCCTGATTTATATCCTGAAGATAAACTCATTTCCTGAGGCTCCAGGAGAGAAATGGTTTCAGGAACCAGATTAAACAAGTTGAGATCAGATGAGAGGCAGGGAACAATCACAAGAAACACTTTATTTAACGTCGTCACTGCACACAGTGTCAATAAAGTTGGTTTGAATTCAAACCTGACGTTTCTGAAAGGAAGCAGAGAATTTAGTCATTTGTTGATTTTGATCACTTTGAGTTTTTTGTTCCGTTTCTCCAAAGGTCCAGATCCTGCTGGATCTGTTCACCTGAGGGGGGAGTTTTAAAGGTTCCTCCAGCTGAGAACTCATCCACATGGGCTAGGCTGAGAGAAACCACGTCGCCGTGGCGAGTGTGGGAGGAGCCTAACGGAAATAAATGTTTTATTAATATTCATCTGCAGTTTTCTTTCAGCTGAAAAACAACGAAACAGCTGCTCCGGTAGTGCAGTGAGCTGGAGGGCCTCTCTAGTCAGAACCGGAGCGGTGTTCGGCTGTTGGACGTCTCACAGTTTGTCCTTCATGGACACCTTGTTGGACCATGAGTCCACGGGGCACCAGGACACTCCAGGACTTTGTTGTGTCCTCGGATCTGAGACCCAGTCTGGACCCTCGGGTGAAGAGACGAGCTGAGCTGTCAGCTGATCACCTCCTGGTGGGGAGTTGGAGCAGAGATGAGTGGTTTGATTATATAATAAAACTGCCTGCCATACTTTGTGCCAACTCAAACAAACAGGCCAAGCTGAGCTTCATGGCACAAAGACTTCATCTTTGAACTCTCAGGATTTACAGAGTCCCAGTTCACCAAGAAGCTACACCAGTTGAAGGTGAGTTGGCTGTGGTGGCCATCTTGAATCAGGTTGAATCCAGTCTCTCTCTCTCACACACACACACACACACACACACACACACACACACACACACACAC